AAGCCTTAATGTCTTATTATAAGTTAAATTTCTACATTTTATGAACTATTTAGGTAGAATTTCATAAATTTAAGATTCTTGTAATGTCACAAGTTCCCAGAGCTTAGGGCGTTACAGTTTGGTATTAGAGCGTAGTTTTCGTTCTTGTAGACTTGCAAAACATAAATTTGATTTCCAAAACTTTAAGAATTGTGTGTGTCAAATAAATTTTTGTTACCATCATGCTTGCCACTACCACAAATCGTCGGTTCTAAGAGAGAGAAAGTTTTAAGAAATTTATGCTATGTTATGATATTTGAAATGTTTATGTGATTTTATATATTTAAGTCCCGAGAATTTATGTTTAAGGAAGTCAAGTTTGAGAATATGATGGGGATATTTATGAATTTTTAGAACATAACTAAATTATAAATGTTCATTTTAGTCTTCTAAAAGATATTAGAAACCCACCAATTTGGACTTTATAATTAATTTGGCACAAATGGCACGGACTAAGAGAACATGTAGGAAAACATGCTCAATGATACCTTGTCGATATGAGATTTTGAGGCAGTACGAGGAGTATCAGTGGAATCCAGCGAATGATATGGGCTGGCACATTAGAGAGATGTTGGTAAGGTGGAGAGAGGTAAGGCAACTAGGATACATGGTCACTGGTCGTTGGGCTACCCGTTTCCTTATGGATACATTGCCAGAAGAATGGCTAGAGATGGCCGAATCAATTTACAATTACTTGTTGGGAGTTACTATACCCACTTTGCCTCAAGAGATTGACTATGAGGCCTTTCGCACAGAGCAAACGGTACAGTGGGAACAGGCTCGAGATGATGCACTTGTATATCCTTGAGGGCAATAGAGTACCTACTGAGATGTACATTTGTGAGGATGCACCTCCACCTATTTCAGATGATGAATCGCAGCCTTCCAAGAAATCTAGGTTCCACGGAGGTTGGATTGATGATGATGATGATGTTAAGAAGAATTAGTGCCAGAGATTTTTTAGTAAATTTTATTAGGCTTAGATCATGCCATGTTGAGTAGGATTTCCTTTTGCTTTTCAGTTGATTAGTACCAAACGTTCTTTCATTGATTGTATTTTCTATAAAAGACTTGTTAATTATAAAATTGGTTATTTCCTAATTAAAGTTTCTCATTTTACTATGCAATGTGTGTTTTTGTGATTTACCTAAAGATTACAAACTATTCCATTTTGTATGAAAGAAATGGCACAAATATCACACATGAGAGCAATTAGAGAATTGCAACAAGTAGTAGAAGAAATGAGACGGGTCCTAATGGCACAAGCTACTCCAGCAACACCAGTGGCTCCGATCGAACAAGATGCACCAGCAATACCACCTATCACAATACAAATTGCCCCTATATCACCCCCTACTCCATCACCAACCACTGCTCTAATTCTACCAATCATTGAGCAGTTTCATCGATATCGCCCTCCTAGCTTCGATGGTGGTGTTGACCCTTTGGCAGCAGAGGAATGGCTTTGCACAATTGAGAAGATCTTTTGACACATCTAATCCAGAAAATTAGAAGGTGTTGTGTGCAGAATTCATGCTAGACGGAGGAGCCAACCATTGGTGGGAATCCGCATCACGTACACGGACAGAGAAAGAACAACGTAATATAACATGGACCCAATTCAAGATGGAGTTGACTGAGAAATATTTTTTGCAAGCCCTTCGCAACCACGAGGAGACGAAGTTTTTACAACTAATACAGAGAGATAAGGACATTGCTGAATATGACAGGAAGTTTGAGGAATTATCATGTTATGCCCCACATCTTATAAGTACGGAGCTCTTGAAAGAAAAACGCTTTGAGAAGGGACTTCATCCTGAGATTAGGCAGATAGTGAGTTTGCACGAACTCATCACTTATTGAGAAGTTGTAAAGAAGGCCTAAACTGTATCATTCTCAATTTTTAAACTTCGAACCCAGGGACTACAGAATGATACTGGAAAAAGGAAATGGCACGATTAGGGTAAGGATAAGAGCTCCGAACAGTTTAAGAAGCAAAATAACGAGCCTAATAGTCGACAATTAGACAATCATTTTCCTCCATGCCCTAAGTGCAAGAAATCCCATAAGGGTGAATGTTTATTTGGCAAGAATGTTTGTTATAAGTGTGGCCAGACAGGACACTATGCTTCAGGATGTCGGGCATCGCCAATTAAGGCTGCTAAACAAGTGAAGAAAGAGAATGTGAGAATTTTTATCATGACATATGATGAGGTCACCTAGGATCCAGACGTAATTACAAGCATTTTATCTATTTACGATATTCCTATTTACGTTCTTATTGATTCTGGAGCGACGCGTTCGTTTATATCTGTAACATGCTTAGCAAATATCAATATTTCATTTGAGAAAACTAGTAGTACACTAGAGGTTAGTACGCCATCGAGAGGAGTCATTGATACAAATAAGATTGCTAAAGCTGTACAAATGGATTTTGATGGGTTAATCCTTGAGGCAGATTTACATGTCATAGAGCTAAAAGATTTTGATATTATCTTGGATATGGATTGGTTAGGTAGTAATAGAGCTACAATTGTATGTTTTGAGAATGGAGTGATCTTCAAAAGACCTCGAAATGAAGAGTTTAGATTTTATAGGTCAAAGATTTAGGCAATTCCTCATCTTATCTCGACTATGCAAGCGGAAAAGCTATTAAGGAAGAAATCAATCGAGGATATTTTGTTAGTCTTACTGGTACACCATCAAAAAGAATTAACATAGGATGAAGTGCCTGTTGTGTAAAAATACAATGACGTATTTCCTGATGACCTATCCGTGTCCCAATTGATGGACAAGTAAAGGTTACAATAGACTTGATACTCGAAGTTGCACCAGTGTCTAAGGCTCCATATCGCATGGCACCAAAATAATTACAGGAGTAAAAAATGCAATTGGAAGAACTTCTAAATAAAGGCTTTATCAAACCAAGCGTGTATCCATGGGGAGCTCCGGTATTTTTTGTGAAAAAGAAAGATGGACCCTATGAGAATGTGTATTGACTATCGAGAGTTGAATAAGCTGACTGTAAAGAATAAGTATCCTCTCCTAGGAATTGAAGATTTATTTAATTAATTAAATGGTGCAACTGTATTTTCAAAGATTGATTTGAGGTCAGGCTATCATCAACTAAATATCAAGCCGAGTGACGTACCTAAAACATCATTTAGAAATCGCTATGGACATTACGAGTTTACATTTATACCATTTGGACTTACTAATGTCCCTGCGATATGTATAGATCTGATGAATAAAGATTCCATCAGTACCTGGACAAATTCGTTATTGTGTTTATTGATGACATACTAGTGTATCCAAGAGATTCTCAGCAGCATGAAAACCATTTGAGGACCATTTTAGGAACTTTACGTAAGGAAAAATTGTATGCCAAATTCAAGAAGTCTGAATTTTGGCTAGATTGAATAGGATTTTTGGGACACATTGTGATAGCCAATGGTATAGAAATAGGCACGAGTAAGGTTGAAGCTGTAACTAACTGGCAAAGACCTACGAATGTTGGAGACGTAAGGAGCTTCCTACGTTTTGCTAGATATTATTGACGATTTATAGAAAGCTTCTCTAAGATAGAGGGTCCTTTGACAGAAATAACTCGAAAGGGTGTGAAGTTTGTATGGACTGAAATGTGTGAACAGAGCTTCCAAAAATTGAAAGATAGATTAGTATCTGCTCTAGTGTTAGCAATTTCGGAGGAATCGAAGGGATTTGTTCTCTATAGTGATGCATCAAAGCTGGGTTTGGGTTGTGTTTTGATGCAATGTGAAAGGGTGTAGCCTATGCATCAAGACAATTAAAGCAGTACAAGAAATATTATCTAATGCACAATTTAGAACTTGCAGCGACAGTTCACACCCTCAAGATTTGGCGTCATTACTTGTATGGAAGTAAGTGTGATATTCACAGTGACCACAAGAGCCTCAAGTACTTTTTTTTACCCAGAAGGAATTAAATATGAGACAACAACGATGGTTAGAGTTAGTAAAAGATTATGATTGTACTATCCATTACCATCCAAGTAAAGCTAACGTAATAGCAGATGCTTTAAGTAGGATGAACCTTTGTCACTTATTAACACTATGTACACAGCAAAATGAGTTAATCAAGGACTTTAAAATCTGAGAATAGAGGTGCTAACACTACCAGTTCAAGCATAAGGTAAGTTGACAAGTTTGGTTCTAAAATCAACCCTCATGGACAAGATTATAGTACCTTAAAAAGATTAATCTTTCTTGGAAAAAAGAAGGGCTGATGTTGGAACCGAGGAAATGAAGGGATTTGAAATAAGCAATGATAAGACACTTATGTTTAAAGGCTGACTGTGTGTACCTAAGGATGAAGAAATAAGAAAAGAGATTATGATTGAGGCTCATTCCACTCCTTACACCGTACACCAGGCTCCACAAAGATGTACAGGGACTTACGTAATACCTTTTGGTGGAAGAATAGCTTTGTTCATGTTGAAGTGTATACATTGTCAACAAATGAAAGCAGAGCATTAGAGACCATCAGGGCTATTAAATCCAATGGACATACCAAAATGGAAGTGGGAGAAGATCTCAATGGATTTTGTAGTAGGTCTTCTTAGGCCGGTAAAAGGTCATGATGCCATTTGGATCATAATAGATCGACTTACAAAACCTGCCATTTTTATTGATCCGTATGACTTTCAGAGAAATTGTTCAACTTCATGGGATACCAACGTCCATTGTGTCAGACAGAGACCTTAGATTCACTTCAAAATTTTGGAAGAGTCTTCAACAGCTATGGGAACTAAGCTGTCTTTCAGTACAGTATATCATCCTCAAATCGATGGACAGTTAAAACGAACTATCCTAGTATTAGAAGATATGTTGAGGGCATGTATACTAGATTTGGGTAGTAAATGGGAGAAACATTTGTCGTTGGTGGAGTTTGCATACAATAATAATTTTTAAGCTACTATCGACATGGCACCATACGAGGCATTGTATGATCGAAGATGTCATTCGCCAATATGTTGGGATGAGGTTGGTGAGTGGAGAATCTTGGGTCCAGAACTTATTGAAAAGTCTGTAGAGGCTATAGATAAGATCAGAATGAAGATTAAGATAGCTCAAGATCGCCAAAAGAGTTATGCAGATAAGAGAAGAAAAGAACTAGAATTTGAGGTGAGAGAAAAAATATTTCTTATGGTCGCCTCGACAAAAGGGGTACTACAATTTGGAAAGAAAGGGAAGTTGAAACCAAGATTTATCACCCATTCAAGATCCTCGAAAAGGTTGGAAATGTAGATATCATTTGGCACTGTCACCTGAGCTATCAGCAATGAATGATGTATTTCATATTTCTATGTTAAGAAAGGACATCCATGATCCAAGTCACATAGTTAATGCTCACTCGTTGGACGTGCGGAGTGATATAACTTATGAATAAGCACTTGTAATGGTTTTAGAGAGGAAGGTACACATTTTGAGAAATAGAGAAGTGCCATTAGTCAAAGTCCAATGAAGTAGACATGGGAAAGATGAGGCTACATGGGAGAGAGAAGCAAATGTTTTGGCCAAGTATCCAGACCTCCTTAATTGAATAAATTAAATTTCAGAACCTTAGGTAGATCGTTTGATCATCGATTTACTTATTTATAAAGGCAACATATAAGAATGTATGATGAAATAAATAATTATTAAATTCATATAGCACATGTAGCCTACTGAGTATTTTCTTTGAAATGCTCATTCCTATTTAACCATTTTCAGAGTAATCGGACATACCGCGACGGTTTGGCATGAATGACATGTTCTATTTTTAGAGAAATTTATTCTTATGTTTTAGATTGTTACTTTTATGTTTAATAATCATAGGTGTCCCTAAGATTGTAGTTTGAATTCATATTTTGAGACAAAAAGGTTTTCATGTTCGTGTGTGTTTCTTTGAAGATTTCAAAATGTTGCCACTATTTTTAACATTGTGCTATGGTCAATAAATTTGGAATATTTTAAATTAGTGTTTCTTGAAAGCCTGAAAACTGAATTGATGGTGAAATTGCTTAATATTTTTTATGGTGGTTTATTCAGTTCATTGAGTCAGTTTCTGCCTAAGTTTAAAAATTCACCCAGACCTAAATTATGAATTATCTATCTCTAGGATTTAGAATCATGAATTTTGGATAAATAAAACTCAAGTTATGAACATTTTCTCGAGAGCTATCTAATTGTACCCAGGAACAAATAGCTTCGGTGTAGAAACATTTTTGACGAATCTATTGATTGAATTTATACAAGAAATTTTAACTTGTAATTTCCCTATGTGTGATGTCTACAGTTTAAATTTTGTAAATTTTAGTCTTCATTTATTTGTCGAACGAGATTTATTTCTGAAAATCGTACAAGCTGAAAATTTAAACTCTCAGAAAGAAAATTTCTTTAATTTTTTTTTTTTTTTTTACCAATTCTCTAGGTGTTAATGTTTTTAATACAAGTTAAATTTTTGCATTTTATGAACTATTTAGGTAAAACTTTATAAATTTAAGGTCCTTACAATGTCACGAGTCCCTAGAGCTCGTGGCGTTACATGAGTGGTGGTTTGTTGTGGTGTTAGTGGTGAGGTGGTGGTTTGATTTGGCCGATAGCAGACAGGGCACATGGGTAGTTTTGAGAATTTTTTTTTGTTGGTTGGAAGTTGAGGTGGTAGTGTTGCGACAATTACGGTGGCGATGGTGGTGGCAATATTCGCGGTGGCAGGAGCGATGTGGTGGTTGTAAGTTGCGGTGCAGTACAAAAGTATTTGTGACCAGCTATTTGGGGTTTGTGACCAATTGTCGAGAGCTAGTGGTAGTTTTGGCGACGACGATGGTGGTGGTGGTGCTACTAAAGGCAGTAGTGAGATGGTGGTCACAAATTATTTGATCAACTGTGATCATTAAATTGGTTAATTTGTGACTAATAAAAGAGATTGAATAGTAACCAATAAATAATGTGTGATCTAAAAAATTGTTAATTTTGATCGATACTTTGATAATTTGTGACTTATAATATTTATGATTTGTTATCAATAAACAAATTGTGACATATAAAATTTTTAAATTATGACAGTAAAATAATTTATAACATATAAAAATTTTGATTTGTGATCGAAAATACTATATGAGTAACTAAATTTGTGAATTTGTAACCAAATTGTATAAATCTATGACTTTAATATATTTAATTAATAAAATATCTAATTAATTAAATCATAAATAAATTGTAATAATATTTGATTTTTGAAATATGAAACTTTTATTCTTAATGTTGAAATAGATGATAGTTAACATCTTATTTACGATTTTTTTTCCCCATAATTATTTGTAGCTCATGTGCTTGTGTCATTATCAAATCAACCAACGGATTAGATAAAGACGTCCGAAACTTTGGACCACATATCAAATAGAAAAATCATTAACTGGAACTAAAATGTTGAGGACCAATAATCCTATAAAAGATGAATTGGAGACTTGTTTATGTTATTTTTAGAAACATTAAGGATTGAGAATGTAAAATTTTCAAAACATGGGGTCCCACTACAAGAGATATCCAGTATTCTAGTCACAAATTAGGCACGTGTTTGATTCTCATTATTAATAAAATATATTTTCCTCTCTCTTCTTTTTAATCGCATATTTTTTATTAAAAAAATATTACATGCAAATCAAAAAAATATCACACATTTTTTATCAATCCACTAGTCCAAAAAACATTCTTTAAAAAGAATGTGGCTCAAACACACTCTAGGTAATAATACTGTACCTTGTTTGATAGGAATTAAATTCAAATCTTTAGTAAATTTTGATTAAAGTTGATAAAATATTTTGATAAAAAGTCAAAAATTCCATTGAATATGTGGTTAAAATTAATTATTAACTTTAATTTAAATTAAAATAAAATTTTAACCCATACCAAACAGGTGCACAAAATATTTAAACTCACTAATGATTGTAATTCAAATTTGTTAATAAATGAAAAATAATGTAAATTTACAAATATACATGATGTGAAGTATAGATGTCGTGATACATTTGGCTTCATATCTAGCATGTTTTTTCTGCAAAATTCGAGTACTTGAAAAAGTTAAAAGGTTGATTTTAATAAAGAAGAGCGAAAGATTTTACAGAATGAGTGATAGAATCGTGAATGGTAATTGACATCAACTGTAATTTATGTTTAAAATTACTTACAAATTTGGATCTCACTTTCTAAAGTTTTTCAAACAAACTCTAAGACTTAAGTCACGGTGCATTTTAACTAGTAAGTTTATCAGTAAAATAAATAAAGCACTTGTTCTTTTTTTTTAAAAATAATTTTTTTATAAAACTCATTTTCTATTTTTTTTCCTTATTTTTAACCCATGTATTATCCACAAAAATCGATATTTTAAAATACACTTTCCTCCAAAATCTCATTTTAGTGGATCCATATTAGGGTTTACCTTAAAATTAGATAAATACCTCAAAAATTATTTTTATTATGGAGGAAAAATAAAATATTGAGACAAAAAGGGTAAAGAGAAAAGAAAAAGGAAAAAGACAGAAAAATGGAATTCGGACTATTACGTGTATCTCAAAGAACAACCCACATACTGTTTCTCTCTCTCTCTCTCAGACACACGCACGCATGTTTACTCTCTCTTGACTAGACTGTTCACGAGTAAAAAGGCAAAGGTAACCCCTCTCCCAAAAATTAGGATTAATATTAGGGTTTTTCAACTCTCTGTTTTTTACTTGAGACAGTGTGTGTCTCTGTGACCTCGAGGGCCCATAATTTTTTCTTGGCCTTTTGAGGATTCTTTTGGGATTTTTGAGTAATGGGTCATCTTTCTTTTCTGATAAAATGGCATCATCTTCACAAGCCGTTGAAGTTCTTGATTTTGCTCTGGGTCTTGTTTTCAGCTGAAAGCGACGTCGTTTGTGCCTCTGATTCGGATAAATCTGCTCTCTTGGAGTTCAAGGATTCAATTTCCGACCCTTATGGTGTGTTGACCAGCTGGAATTTGAATAATACGGATCACTGCTCTTGGACCGGGGTATTGTGTGATTCGGGCTATCGGGTCGTGTCGTTGAATATCACAGGTGAAGGTAATTCATTATCTTGTGCTAGAATTGCTCGATTTCCACTCTATGGGTTTGGAATTAGAAGGCCTTGTCTGATTAGCAATAACAAAGTAAAAATCCTGGGTAAATTATCGCCAGCTATTGCGAAACTCACTGAGCTTAAGGTGTTATCGCTCCACTTCAATGAATTAAGCGGTGATATTCCTTTGGAAATTTGGGGTATGGAAAAGCTTGAAGTTCTTGATCTTGAAGGGAATTTAATTTCTGGGTCATTGCCGGGTAAATTTAAGGGGTTGAAAAACTTGAAAGTTCTTAACTTGGGATTCAATGAGATTTTTGGTGGAATGCCAAGTTCACTGTTGAATTTTATGGGTCTGCAGATCTTAAATTTAGCTGGAAATCAAGTGAATGGGTCTATTCCAAGGTTTATTGGTGAGTTTAGAGATTTGAGGGGGCTTTACTTGTCATTTAATCGGCTTGGTGGATCGATACCTGGTGATATAGGGGATAGTTGTGGGAAGCTTGAGTATCTGGAATTGGCAGGAAATTTCTTCACTGGAGGGATTCCAAAAAGTCTTGGAAAATGTAGAGGGCTGAAGACACTTCTGCTGTACTCAAATGTTTTAGAGGAGGTGATTCCGGTTGAACTTGGTCAGCTGGATCAGCTTGAAGTGTTAGATGTTTCTAGGAACAATTTTGGTGGGGCTATACCATCAGAACTTGGCAATTGTACAAAGTTATCTGTCCTTGTATTGTCAAACTTGTGGGATCCTCTTCCCAACATCTCTAGTTTTAGAGGTGATATCTCGATTGAAAAGTTGGCACTTATTGCTGATGAGTATAATTTCTACGAAGGTACACTTCCAGCTGAAATTACTGGTCTTTCTAGTTTGAGGATGTTGTGGGCCCCTCGAGCAACTCTTGATGGGAAGTTGCCTGATAGTTGGGGTTTTTGCGACAACTTGGAGATGTTGAATTTGGCTCAAAACTATTACTCAGGGAAAGTCTCATTGGGGTTCAGCAACTGCAAGAAACTGTATTTTCTAAACTTGAGCTCAAACAGACTGAGTGGGGAGATTGTCGACAAAATTCCTGTTCCTTGTATGACTATGTTTGATGTTAGTGGGAATTTTCTATCTGGTTCTATCCCCAAATTTAGTTACAACTCTTGTGCAAATATCCCATCCATAAATGGGGATTTCTTGGAGCCACAGGATCCATCATCTTTATACATCTCATACTTTGCAGAGAGAACTCAAGTTGACATCCCTTTGCCATTTTTTGGCGATGATGCTAGTTTTGCTGTGCTCCATAATTTTGGCTCTAACAACCTTACAAGCACAGTTAATTGGATGCCAATTGCACCTGAAAGATTAGGGAAGCGGACTGTTTATGCATTTCTTGCTGGTGGAAACAAACTCACTGGATTATTCCCTGGAAATTTTTTGGAGAAGTGTGATCAGATGAAGGGTATGATGGTTAATGTCAGTAACAATCTTTTATCTGGTCAAGTTCCAACTGATATTGGAACGAGGTGCAAATCTTTGAAGCTCTTAGATGCCTCCGGCAATCGAATTTCTGGAATTCTTCCTCCTGGTATCGGAGATTTGGTTTCACTTGTAGGTCTTAATTTGAGCTGGAACCCACTGAATGGTCCAATCCCCAGCACTATCACCCAAATAAAGGGGCTTGAATGCCTTTCTTTAGCTGGAAATAACTTGACTGGGTATATTCCCGCGAGCATGGGGCAACTATACTCTTTAAAACTGCTTGATCTGTCTTCAAATTCTCTCTCTGGTGAAATTCCTAAAGAGCTTGCAAATTTAAGGAACTTGACTGTGCTTCTCCTCAATGATAATAAGCTATCTGGGCAGATTCCGTCTGGCTTCACGAATGTGACCATGCTCTCAGCATTTAATGTGTCCTTCAATAATCTCTCTGGGCCATTGCCTTTGAATGGTAATTTGATGAAANCAGGAGAGGACCACAAGAGCTGCCAATTGGAGGGTACTTCACAAGATTGCTTTGGACATAGCCCGTGCACTTGCCTACTTACATGATCAGTGTGTGCCACGTGTTCTTCACCGTGATGTGAAGCCTAGCAATATCTTGTTGGGTGATGATTACAATGCTTATTTATCTGATTTTGGACTGGCTAGGCTACTCGGAACTTCAGAAACTCATGCCACCACCGGTGTCGCTGGCACTTTTGGATACGTTGCTCCAGAATACGCAATGACTTGCCGTGTGTCTGATAAGGCTGATGTCTATAGTTATGGGGTTGTGTTGCTTGAGTTGATTTCCGACAAGAAAGCACTTGATCCCTCATTTTCTTCCTATGGAAACGGTTTCAATATTGTTGCTTGGGCATGCATGCTCTTGCGTCAAGGGCGTGCTAAGGAGTTCTTCACTGCCGGGTTGTGGGATGCAGGCCCACACGATGATTTGGTTGAAGTCTTACACCTGGCAGTTGTCTGTACAGTTGACTCTCTTTCAACCCGACCAACAATGAAGCAGGTTGTAAGACGTCTGAAGCAACTCCAGCCCCCATCTTGTTAGCATCACACGAGAAATTATTGTTGACATAATAAAAAAGGTAAGCCCAACAGAGATTGCAACCTCCCACTTAATTGCTAAACTGCTCTCAGTTGTTTTCTTATAGGTAAGGTCTTAAACTTTAGCTGCTTGTAAATTGTAGTGCAGATTTCCCCTTTATCAATGTCATATTTTGGATTAGGGAGTTTACTGATAGTTCTCTGAATGCAAATATTTGTCTTGATTTGTATAATTTTTTTCTATTTGTATCTCATATTTATTTGTGTTGTTAATAAGAACAAAGCATCAAAATTTTCAACAAAAATTGTTCCACTGCTCTTACTGGATAGGTCGTGAGGTGTCTGTAATTTTTATTTCATGCCATTGCTTTGGTTATATTTAGATCTTTAGGCCGAGGAGGCAGCAAATGCGATATCTTTTCCTTCTGCGATTACAAATTCTTGTATCTCACCATTGTTCTCCTTATGTTTAAGCTGTACATGCTCGTCTGCTGTCGTGTCCTTGCAGAAACAAAAATGCATGGATGTAATTTCTTGAAATTACGCTTATATTGCAAGGGTTATGACTGAGAATGGTTGCAGAATCCTTGCAGGATTATCTAATGTGACCTTATTCGTTTTAGAAGTCTGAAGGCTGAGCTGAGCCGGAGATATTCTTGCTCAAGTTCTACCAGTGTTTTGGTGACGCAACCCCTTATATTGGGCAGAGGATGACCCTCCCGACCAACAAGATTTCCGTCTCAATAGCTTCAATTGAGTACCATCTGTGCACGGCCATACTTTTCAGGTCCCCAAGGTGTACAGCCAGTGGTACTTGGAAGTATGGAACAATGTAGGCCAGGAAAATCGACAAAATGGCTTTGTCGCTTCTGTCAAAGAATTGGCCATCAAGACAGGGCATGACACCTTTTTTGCAGGGCTCAGAAGTGATGGCAAGCAGTACGAGGTATCCGCATGATTTTTCAAGGTTCAAAATTTTTTTTTTCAAGTAGGGGGGCTGTCCGCTTTACCCAAGGTATGCAGAGCATTTCTCCAACTCGTCTGAGACGAAACCTTGATAGGGTCCAGAGCATCTTGCTTGCAATGCAGTTAATGCAACACTAGTCGATACAGAACGTTGTCGCCAAAAGATCACGAAGCTTACGACAGATTTTTTCCAGAGATGAGCTGCGTTAAATACAAATTTAGGTCTCCACTGTAAAACATACAGAATTTTAATTTTTCATTTGATTTTGTTCAGTATTAACATAAGAAAACGAACGCGATCAGATGCACATATTCTATTCCTCTGGTTTGATCATCTCCATTTAAAGACATCACCAACGTATGATTTGTTTAGGGTACTATGACTGGAAATGACGAAAACATACCATAGAGGAAATCAAACATACTAGTATCAAACCATGGAACAGAATCTTAATGCTATAAATTAGGATTCTAAACCGAGAATAGGGTATCATCCTCGATACTGAAATATACCATGATTACTTGTGTAGACATTCTTGCTGAGAAAAAAACCATAGTATATGGGAGAGAATAACCAAAAATAATAATAATAATTAACCCTAGGATGAGTGACATGCTCTCATAGCTTAACCAAGCTACCCGTTTGGTAGCCAAGAGGGCTGGAGTTCGACTCTCAACAAGAGCAAGCTGTTAATCAAATTTCTTCAATTTTCTTCTAGATAACTTGCAGATCATTGCCAAAACAAGAAAGAAAAGAAACAGAACATGGTCATTACCCTCCGGAAGGAAGGCAGAAAAGGTACAAGGTACTACAAGAACCGAGAATGGTTAACGACTATGTGCCTCAAAGGATTTGCCACGTCATCTCCGCCGGCGTGCTTCACAAATTCAGCCGGCGAGAGAAACTTGCCATGACAAACACATACTATTTTCACCTCCTCTCCCTTCTTGTATCGGTATAAGAATCCTTCGATCTTTTTACCATTTGGCCCGTCACCCTTTGTGGAGACACATGGCATATCGAGCATGACGTTCTTATGTATTTCATTAGCTTCCTTCTCGGTAGCTCGGACAGGTTTATGCTCAATCTGTGCTGGCAAAGATTGGACGCTGGGAGGGCTCTTCGCCTCAGTGCCTTGTTTTACCCCTGTAAATAAGAATGATATGTAATGTTAAAACTTCACCTATTATCATGAACAGAAGAAACAAAAACGAATCCATTTTTCCCCATCTGTCAAGTTATTTGCAAAATTTGCTGAAAGATTCAAAACCCGTTTGGGAATTGGGGTGAGTACGTGAATCCATTTTCTCCGAGTTCATTTCTGGATTTACTCAAAGATTTAAGAAAACCACATCTACTTTATCTTTTCCCTTCTTCTACCGAGATCTAGTCCCTCAAGTTCAATACAAAAAAAGCAATAGAATCTGATATGCTACAACAATCAAGAAGCAATTAAGCGAAAAAACAGCATGGTTTTCATAAATCACAAATCAAGCAATTCATCAACCCAAAATAAGTGAAAAAAACAGAGGAAGGGGGGGATTTAAGCGAAAATATACCTTCTGAGCGTTGACTTTGAATATCAGAAATTCCTGAAGAACCACTTCCCTGTGATCCAATTGAGCTCTGTGATAATGGAATTTCATTCCCATTTGAATTAACATTAATTCTTCCTTTAACAATCCCATTAATTTCACAGTTGTTGTTATTTTTGTTATTATTATTGTCTTCAGAAGAATTTGCCCCCAAATCGACCTTATCTTTCACCACTCGTCCATTATTCAACTTCTCTAATCTCTTCCTTTTCGCCTCCATTCGCCTTATTGACTGCAACTCCCTCCTCTTCCTTAGCTCCTCCTCCGCCTCGACCGGCAGCGAACAAGTCCTCGTCAACGGCGTGTACACGTCAACCGACACCCCCACCGCTTGTCGCCCACCATCATCGCCACCAGCACCCACCGTGAAAACCAAATTTGAAATTGAAGAAGAACGTTTCACTTTTTTGGCTGCCCTTTTCGGGTCCACACCAAATCTTCCATTCGTAGATAGTCCCAAACTCAACTCTATTTCTTCATTTCCATCATTGTCTTCTTCTGTTGAGAAAGAGAAACGTTTTCCGTTCATATATTTGTGCAATATATCCATTGAAAATCCATTCTTTTTCATGGAAAGACCAAATTTTTCTCTATTTTCATTCATCATTCATACATAAAATAAAATCTTCAGAAAGAAAAAAACTGGAAAAAAATTATGAAAAATAGAAAATATTTGTGCAGAGGGAAATCGAAAATGGAGAGGAAAACTTGAGGAAAAGAGGGAGTTTTTAATTTCAATGGCGGAATGTAAAATGACGAATTTGTCCCTAAAGAGTAGCGTAAATGCCTTAGAAATGTGAAACGTGGTCGTACTGACCAGGTCTCGTAGGACGTCTCATAAACAGGCGTCTACCATTTGGTAAGTTTAAGGAAACGTGTCCGTTTCTGGATGCTAATTAAGACTGCCACGTGTCCATGACACATTGACCTCGTTGTCCGGCGATGTTCTAGTTTCTCTATCTATGACTGCTGCTAGCTGTAGAGCGGCGTGGCGAGCTTTGAAGATGACACGTGGAAAGAATATTTTGAAACGCGAGCTGTAGTACTCTCGATGACATGCCGACACGTAGATTTTCGTTATTTAATTATAATATATACAAATTGTCATTATTATTATCGAAAAACTTTATAGAACGTATCTTATAAACTTAAAATTTAATAATATACGAGATTAATATATATTGTGATTAAATTTTGTAACTACGATCCAAAAGTTTTAAGTACAAAAATTTGAAAGCAAGAAAATGATATTCATTGCAAAATTTAAATTATAAGCAATGCAACAAGTACAGCAATTTCGATATCATAATTGACAACCTCTCACATACAAAAGGTGGGATTCACGATTAAAAAAATATAGGTCCCACAATTGTGAGAACTGTATACGTAGCATTTTTCTTAAATTATTAATAGATTCAACTAAAGTAGTGGAAAATATTCTATGTTTTTTATATAAGCAAGTTGGGTTTATTAGACAACGTTATGATATGATCCATTGTATGAAACAAAACTGTCCTCAAAGATAGTTTTCACAAAGTAAATAATTCATGCAACTTGCACACCTTTTTTCATAGTAATTTAATGCCAATTTGCAATGAGTATGATGTCAATTTTCAAAAGAAAGATGTGAAAACTACCCAAAAGTTACATTATTATCATTGTTTTATTTAAAATTTAACTTGTACTTTTATCGATTTGAATTTTCATAAAAGTTATGTTGCACGATATAAAGAAAAAATTTGTTTGACTAATTGAGCATATGTCTCAACTGACTTTTTAATAATGGTCTATTATTCAAATGCATTTAAATTAGCATTGTGATTGATTAGATATGCGTGATACGATGAAGTTTATGAGATTAATAGGATTGAAAAGAAGGGTACATAATATTTTCTTTTTAGAGAAATTTGCACCTTTCGTCTCCAATTTTTGTGAAGTGTGATGAATCTACTCTCAACCTTTTTAAGAGCATATCCTTTTGCAACCTTTCTATCATATAGTCGAGCTCGTACTTTTCTTCATTTCGGTCATTAAATGACAGATTTTCCCTCCTCCTTATATAAATAAAAAGAAAGAAAGCAATAAAACAACAAAAAAATAAGAAAAACTGCGAAGGAATCCCATAACTTTTCAAAAATATAAATAAATCCCTCTTTAAATAATTAAATATATCAATATACACAAAAATTAGAAGGAAAAAAAAAGTAAATATTTCATCTTCTCCAACCAAACATTTAGCTTTTATATGAGATATGAAAGCTTAGATTCGAATTACAAGCCATCAATATCCTTTCTTTATTTTCAAACAAATTGGAATCAACCTCTATGTGATGAATGCTAGATTTTTACAACTTGTAATTTTTACTGTTTGTTTATTCTATTCCACTTGAAACCTTCATTTTCTGATGAGTTGTAAATAGTCATTGATGATGTCCAAGTAAAATGGAATTATACATTTTTGAGAGCAAATGTCTACAAATAAATGAATATTACCAATAAATGAGTGGACAAAATGAAACAATTGAAAATTTTTGTTCATTATATAGTTTAATATTAACTTGTCAAACTAGTGCATATTTAACCCTTGTTAGAGTCCCCTTTTTTTGGCGAGAATGAATTTTTGAATAGTGTACTGATGGAAAGTGTGTGATTAAAAAATTAAAAAAAATTATATTTGCATTGAAATAATGTCAAAATACTGTTGAAAAATGTCGTTTTTCAAAAGAATGGGCCTCAAACAAGCCCACTAATAAAAAAAACCTTAAATCATTGATGACTAAACCCTTGTTTGAATCCCATTTTGGGGGGGGGGGGGGGGGGGGTTTTTTAAAT